AAGGTTGGGTGGTGGCTGACGATTCGGGAGGTGGCTGCGGGTTGACGAAAGGGAAAAGCGCTAAGGCGGCACCTCCGAGTTAAACGTCCATCCCTGAAAGGACAGAGCCCTCTACGTTCTTATATTAACTATAATATACGTTCTCTCACCGTCTAGACAGAGACAAATGGGAAATTCGTGTAGCCTACAGTAAGGTGCTTTTCCCAAGCACACAACGTCGGACCGAGGTGAGGCTCGAACCCCCGAAACTGCAGTCACACGATTACGAGTCCAGTAGCCTAATACAAGGTGCCCATTGGGGGAATCTGGTCAGGCGGGGATTGAGGGCGCAGAGCAGCTATCGTGGCCCAAGCCGATCGCGTCCAAATGGTCACCTCAAAAACAAACGCGTGTGTTTTTAGGCGACGAGTCGGGCGATCTGTGGCGCTACTGTATGGGAAACTGTATGGGAACACACGACACTGGGACAATCGACATCGGGGGATTCTAAGCGTTCGGGACTAACAAAATGGGCAAAATGAGAAAAAAACATGCGGCCAAAAAAAAAAAAAAAAGAAAGAAAGAACCTGAAAAAAATCGTTGTACAGTAAGTTGAGTAAGTTTAGCTTTCAAGTCACGTCAGTGCGGCTGAAAGACAGTAGCCCTGGAGTAGTAGTAGAAAGGCTGTAGAAAGAGTCAGGAGCCCAGTGGAGAGGGCGAAGGAGGTGAGGGGGTGGGAACAGAAAATGGAGACGAAACAGACGATAGGACATTGTTAGAGAGCAGGAAAGGAAAACATTTCAGAGAAGAAACTTTTCCGTCGCTATCCGGATTCGAAACCGGGACCTATTGAATGAGAGGCGAGCGAACACTGTAACCTCTGGACCATGAGAGCCTCCTTGTTGAGTTCTCTATATTCTCAACCCATTTGGATGGTCGTATCAGACCCTCTCTGGTCGTATCTTGGCAGATGGAGGGTAAATACGGTCAGAGCTGCCAACCCTACCGGCCACAAAAGTGTAAGATTTTAGCTTTAAAAAAGTGTAAGATTGTAAAAAAAAGAGTACAATATAACAAATATCACTATTTCGTCACACACGCAATTAAAACTCGCAAAAATTAAAAGAACAAACCGCCACGCAACACTAACACGAACTTGGCGGAAGTTGGCCTAAACGAAACGAAATTAGGTGAAAATCAATCA